CATTGTTTTCTTGAATGCGCGTCGCAGAACCGTCTCCCCGTGACGCTGTAAGTACAGTGATCGAATTGCGATTCTGTAACTTGACTAACCCGTCCCAATTAACCTTCTGTTTTGAGTCTTTGTGTAGTATAACCAATTAATCCAGTCATCAAATGGTACATTAGCAAGTGATCTGTTTGTCTGTTTCAGGGCGATTATCGGAAATATTTACATAACTGGGCAGATAATGTCTGACACACCGTTAGATCGAACATCCCAGGTCCTCAACACATTGATGTCTCTGTACGACAAACGGATTCGACCACACACTAACGGTAAGGCAATTAAACCATTATAGAACCACTGAGCTGTGGTGCGATCGTGGATCCAATGGACCAATAACTTTGGTGACATTTAACAGAACAGACATATATGTGTCACGCTTCTTTACAAATACAACAATATTTCACGAAGGCTTCTCGACCTAATGCGTCTAAAAATGCTTGGTAGTTTTCTGTATATTAAAGCAATAAAGACAGCGGTAACTCGAAATAAACCACATAATTATATTCATAACGCGGTTATTTTTGATGAATTAATCTGTGGCTTTGATGTGCCCGAACACATCTTCAAGTTTAGGTGCATGGTTTTACCGGCGTGCCGTAAAACGAGGTATGCTCGACGATTAATTTACCGCGTCAAGTACTGCAAAGTTCATGAATTTAATCCTGCTGTAAATTACATATTTTTTATGGCTAGTTTTAAATCACAGCCAAGTGGCGTCAAATAGCCAGTCAGATTTTTTTTTAATGTTATCGCTGGCTTCCTGTGTATTGATGATAACCACACAGAGAGATGCGGATTCGGAGTTAATGGTGCGTCGAAGCGCGGAAAGGACCTTAACTGAAGTTTGGTCAATTCACTTACCATCAGTCGAGTCAGGAAATTGCCTTGAAAGCTTTCAAGCAGAATAAGAAGTAAGATATTTGTCGGAGAAATGAAGTCCCCCGCGGTTTGCAAGAACTGCAGTAAATAGACTGATTATGACACGTGTATACAAAGCGTTTATTATATCACACATTGCGTGGCACTTGTCAATTTCACACTGTGTTGTGCATTTGTAATTACATCAGGTACATATTGAGAAATGTTGGGGTAATCTGGTAATTCCGGTCAGCGTTTAGAAATTGAATGGCGTGTATACCATAATTATGTCACGTGTTTTCGCAGAGCTCGTTATTGGGCCATCTACATGCCATATGCTGGATGATAAATATCACAATATGCAACAGTATTATATTTTTCTTCAATGTTGTTCATAACAAAACTGAAAATTGACCATTATATGGTATGTGTGCCTAAGATGTTATAACAAACAAGAAACAAAAACAATATATCAACCACAGAAAAGGGCGACAGGAAGGAAGAACACTTTAACATCAAAATCGACATGAGCAACGGATTTAATGCCGGATATGACATGAATAAACCATCGACACACATAACATAGCGGTCGTATGCAAAATACGTTGAGCTTGTAAGAATACAAAAGTGATTTGAACAAAAATTAATACATTAAAATCAGCTTAGAAATAGTGTAACATATGTATGTACCAGACACACAGTAATAAGAATGCTCGTGGGGTTACCTACACCCACCGCTTGTAGCATAAATGGAATCGTCTACGGTAACGTTATTCTGACTAGTTTCAGAAAAACGTAATTTTGCCGCTTGGTAAGACCTCCGTAAAACAATTGTCCACAATGCATTGCATTAGGACTTATAAATTGACAAGAGTTGTAATTAGCGTAGCCTTTGAATTGCCGACAATTTTCTAATTAAATATAAGCTGAGCTTGGCATGCCGTGGCATAAATATGATCAAATCGAAGTAGAAATATCAATGCAATATATATTCAATATATTGTGAAGCCAAGTAATACAATGTTTAAACTAATTTGTTGTTATAAAATAAGTTTGGTCATTCTTGACGTATCGACTGCACAATACAATACACCGATCAGTCAATTCATTCAAATTAATTAGTCTGTTCATGATGTTTTATGTTCACATTAATTATGTACAGTAATTGCTTTTCGCCTATATCAAATTCTGTAAATTGAAATTATAACGGTGTTTGGGATAATTAAACTAATGGATTAATACTGTCTGTGATGGTGTCGCTCACACTCCAGTCTGTTAGTAGGGCGGCGCAGATAATACAATGCCAGACACGCCGCTTCAATGTCTTGTATAATTTTAGCAAACATTTGAAAATGGCGGTTTCACTCTAATATTACTTACATTTAACATTTACATATTATAGTTAGGGGTATATAGATTTTATACATAGGTATACTGAGTAGTGTCAGGCTCTAAAGCGCCGTAGTCTTCACATCGCGTCGTGTTCGATGTAGATGTTCCATACGACGTATAAGACCCGTGTAAAACGTATTGTTTGTTTACCCGAACTTGCGCCGCGGGACGACTGTACCGCTTTGAAGCAAATAACACGATGACAGTCTAGTCTACTGTCCTACAGTCTAAACACGATGGAATACTGCTAATTTTGCGGGTAGTGTAGCAATTCAATATAACAAACCTTGTCAGAATACACTCGCGGTAATTACATCATAGGTAAACAGACGTTGTTTTCAATGTACGTCAATGTGTACCCATCAGTCGCTTCAATTGTATAGAGGCTACACACGCGCATCGTCAAAGCAAATTTTGTTAGACATTTAAAAAAAAACAAAACAAAAAAAAAACAGACCGACCGAAGTCCTTTTTTAACATACATGAAACAGACACACAGTATGTGACACCTGTTAGAATGTAATTAAACGGAAACAGAATGCTATATACTAGTATTCAAACCTGGTTTTTCTCTCGAATCATAGTACGCGCATGATAATGGAATTCAACACAAACAATTCAATTACATTCTCGCCAATAATAGAATACGAACCTCGTAAATTAAACACGATCTTTAGCATTATTATAGCGTTATCAACCGATACTATAAGATATAGCAATGGTGATTAGACAGAGATAAAACCGGAAGTTAGTGATATATTACATGGATGGCGGCCCGCTTTTCAGTTTGTACACATGTTACACGGATCAACGCGTTTTTATAAAAAGAAAACAAAGCAGTATATACTGGGTTATTCACTGCAGTTGTTTTCATTGGAACGTGATTGTTTACTACCGTAACGGTCAATAAAAATTACGCCGTCAATACCAGATGGGCATGTACTATTTCACATATATTCTTACATTATTAAAATAAATCATCGAATGTATGCATGCACACAGGGAATAGCATGACAATAATACTGTGTGTTTTTTTGTTTTATAGTTTTTTTAATAAAATATTGGTAATTACTGAAGCATGTACAATATGAAATAAAAATAATAATGTTTTACCTAATTTAAACAGATGTGTGCAGACTACTGAAACATTTACAATATGGCCTTTATAACAATACTATTTTAAAAATAAAATGTATTGGTATATTACAATTAAACTGGCTAAACGTTCACTGATTACAGGCAATATTTGGAATGCCAAGAAAGCAGTCTGAGCATTTCTTCTTGATTTGCATATTGTTTCAATTACATTTTGCAATTATAATGGCGCGGCGAGCTCTTTGATAAGAGTTAATTAAGAGAAGACAAATTAATTTGTGGATTTCATCGTGTAGGCACATTCATATAACATTTACATTGCTATGCATTCTTTTCAACAAAAGATAAATTGTCAGCACAAATACAGCCAAGTATGTTGCACGTATCGTATGTATTGTTTGTTGAGAAAAATAAATAATCTCATTTTCAAAACTGCTCCAAATGCATTGACAGCAAACGGGTGTTATAATATTTAAGCCATTAATGGGCTCATGCAATGCTGAATCGTTCTGTTATTGTTTCGAATATTTTGACAACAGAATAAAGCTATGTTCAAGCTATGGACGACAAAGCAAAGACTTGATTGTTCGAGAATTCACATTCATATCCAATATAAGTTTCACGTAGGTGATGTTTCGGTTGATATTTGTGAATATCCACTTTAATATTCTCATCATATTGAAGATACTGCCTTCCAATAATAATTGACCTTAAAATAAATAGCGTTATGCTGTTTATCCTGAACAGTGTCCTTTTTTTATTAACGCTCTCTTAGATTATAGTAAACTAGTGCTTAGCGCGCGGGTACCCCCGTATGTGGCGCCAGGTGCATGGATTGATATCAAGCCTGTGCTGACCAGACAGCTGAATGTCCGATATTGAGTTCTACCAGGTTTTCTATTCTACAAAGGTTTCTAACTATCCGCTAAGTAGTTCCCCATATCGAGAAATAATTTGCATTTCGAAATCTTTGAGGGGACACGATTTCGTTTTATGTTTTGAACATTGCCGTTATTGATTTTTTTAACAATAATGGTACGCGCCAAAATACTAGTAGTACATGTATGAAATACAATTTTACGCTCAGAATGGCCGATTTCTGGTGATAAAAACAAATGCAATGCTCAAATTCAATGATCTAGACAGCGATTTTAAATCCATGACTCGTTGTCATGGTTTCTAATTCATCATCTATGGCACTAAACAAACGAATATAAAGCCGATATAAGTTTGGTTTTGTAAACATTTTATGTCCCTGTAAGACATCTCATTTGAGGTTCGAAAACATACAAAGGTCGTCACAAAGGTCAAGTTTATATTAAAGGGGTTATGAGTTGTAGGACGTTTGGAATAACGCATCTGATTCCTTATTAAATGATTAAAAAATGAAATTATGATTCTTTCAGATTTTTGTTACCTTACAGTGAATTACAGTGCTCCTACTTGACACAATAAATGCAGTCCCTCGGCTTAACAATAAAACTGCAATGATTTGATGGACTGCAGAATTGCACGGTTTCTACTTGACATGATAATTGCAGTACCCGACCAGACAATGAAATTGTAATGATTTGAATGGACAGCAGAATTGCAGTGCTTCTACTTGACACGTGAATTTAGTGTCCCGGCTAGACAACAGAATTTCAATGATTCGAATCAACAGTATAATTGCACGATTTCTACTTGACACGTGAATTGCAGTGCTCCAGCTAAACAGTAGAATTCGACTGGGTAGCAGAATAGCCGTGCTCTTAATAGACACGAACATTTTAGCGCTCTAACTTGACAATAGTGTTGTGTTGATTTGCCTAGGCACAACATAATTGAAGAGTAATTGTCCTTACCCGGGTCAATGTACGAAAGTACATTTCGAAATTCTTGCAATCTTGGCTCACATGCCACCTTATAAGCACTGTGAGCGAAAGATTACGGCCGTCCAAATATTTGTGCATGTTCAGTAAGCTATTACAAATAAATTGACAGCGATCTATACATGGTGCAGCACTGTAGTTCCCAGCGGGAGAATATTGACGAATTTTGACAAGCATTCTTTAATCTTCTAGATGAGTTATGTAAATTTGATTACCATATTCACCCAGCACGCACCATCCTTGAATGTGGTGCCATCAATCTTTGAAATCTCGCGTTGCCACAATGCCATTTCGCGAGTATTACCTTGACAATCGTGAGTATGACGCACATCAATACCGGGTTACTTCACAATTGGTGCATGACATCTGTTCAGGCCTTTAACACAACTGTTTTTGCTGATAATTTTGGATTACGATAACATGTGTACGAACATTTCATTTAAGGAGCCGATGTGGGTGTTTCTCCTAGCTTCTTTCACTATAGAGGAACTACAGCGGCGCCGTATATACGTACAGTAACCTGTCAACAGCGCATGCGCACGAATGACTATTTAGATAAGAGATAATTATACGTAATCGACACTTGGTTTAGATAAAGGACAAGTCAACGTAATGGGAGTTACGAAATGCAAAAATTTTCCCAGAATTCAATTACATACACTTGCATGAAAACATTGTCATATAATGCGAATTTAGTATTGGGGCTTAAATAAAAAGTCTGGACATCACCATGGTATTACAAGTCATGAAATGACAAGACCTGACAAAAAACGAGAGCTAAAACTTGGCGTTTCTTCCATTTCATTAGTAACAAAACCATTTGATTGTGGTGGGTATGTTGCTCATGTTTGTGGACAATATATGTTTCAACATTAAGTTGCATTTGTGTTCTCTCTAACGTAATTCCTAGTATTTAATTTTTCCCCTAGATTAAATTTTGCATGGGGTTTCTCCATATCCCTTCCTCTCTCATTCAAACCTAGCCCACCAAGGAATAGCTTAATACTGGTTAATGATTAACTTGAATGGCGGCAGTCGTCGTGCCGCGTCCTGTTCGATATGGGACTCTTAGCGACGTATACAACGCGTGTAAAATACATTGTTTATTTACATGAAATTTGAATACGCGCTGCGCGACGACCACCGCCCTTTAACTTGGACATAACATAACGTGTGCAGGGTTCCTGTCTGGGCGCCCTGTCTGGTTTCGAGTTGCACTGTGTCTAATTTGATGTTATTTCGTAAATTAAAAAGCCGTTTAAACATATTTAAAACACGTGTGGTTTAATTTATGCTTGACATTATATTTAATTTATGGTTTTCTTTGAAATGATTTCAAATGTTAGCTATCGTTTGATCCCCCGCAAAAAAAAACCTTTTGGTGATGCTCTGTCAGACATTAATGGAAAAACCCTAAGTTTAGAATGGATATACACAACACTAAAAGGTGTATCTTACACTCGTCTAAACAACTCTATTCAATCTTATTGATAACCAAGTGTAACAGAAGCAACATTCTGTAATCGAATAGTATGTCTACATGTGGAAGTGTACAACCACGCGGGGGAAGCAGTGTTTGTATCGTATTTGATAAATACTGTCGCAAAAATAATAATTCCAGTACAATAAAAGTTCCCAGAAAAAAAAAAATCAAAAAGTTGCAACCAGTTCTGATTGATAGATATCAAAATAATTGAATAATCTGAAAGGGGATTACGAGGTGACAATATTGGAGTTTCAAATTATTTCCATGTTCATCTTTTTAGTATATCACCCGTCCGTAGAAGTTTCAATCCTAATGTGTTTGTATGATTCCACCCATGTTGGTTGGTTGGAATATTAGCATAAAGACTCTTTCAGTGGTTTCTCGACAATTCCAATTGAATTCCATTCATACATGTTTTAGCGTAGATCTGAATGTTAGCATAGGCATCTGTTTCCATAGCGACATTCCCTGTCAGACATGAAATGATAACACACTAAAATAGAACAATAAATGTGAGATATCACCAATAAACTGGAACTATGATCATTATATAATCTTGAAATCGTAGCTAATTTTATCCCTGAATGAAAACGACATCTGAAATCTTATCCATGGTTTAACATCGTCTCACAGTGGCAATGCACCTACTGTGAGTTTGACAGTGTTATATATTTTAATTTGTACATGTATGATTGCTTGTTTGTCTGTAATTATCTGGACAGACTTTTACTGTGAAACATTAAGTCTTCCCTTTAAAGGGAGAGGGTTAAAATTCAAGTCCAAGGTAGTTAAAGGAAATGACCGATTTATCGAATTCACTTAAGGTGAATAAATAATATGGCCGATTTATTGATTGAATCATTTCACGGCAGTTCATGGATACGCTCGATTCACCGAATTAATCAGCATTGAATCAATAGTGTGACCAGTTGTTGAATTAACTTAGTAGATCAATAATACAGATAATTCACTTAATTCATCTGCGGTAGATCGAGGATAATTCAGCTAGAGTTTCATCATCCAATAATTTGTACTCCACTCTCTCTCTCTATTTCAAGAGAGAGAGAGTTGCGTGTTTTCGCGGGGCATTCTGGTCCCCGACGGCAGTGTATAAAGTCACGTGATATTTGAACTTAAATAATAAATGACATAATGCGTTCAATATTGAAGTACAAAAAAAGTGGGATAAATTTCTCTTGCTGTCGCACTGATTCTGCACTGTATCCCGTAGACATATTCCCATAGACGTATTTATCAACCATATCATGTCAAGTGGCATTTGACCTCATTTCCCATCGCCTTTATGCGTGGCCACCTGTGTTTAAGACTCGTGTACACTGCAAGTAATATTAATGGCCATCACTGTGCCGTGTTTTCGTGCTGTGCCATAACGCTTTAATCGACAAAACCTGATTATTATCACGATGGCCAACAAGTGATTAATACGTGCTTTACTTATTGTGCTTGAGTCACGCCGTAATTAAATTTAAATTGACTTGGTATAACTATTGAATCTGAATGGGACATGCGAAACAAGAACGAAGGATATCACGTTGCCAATCGGTGCACAGTACACCGAGACCCGCATTTCTTGAAGCTTGCTACGAAAAGATTAGTAGAAATAACGACACACGTGAAATCCGATCCGAATGTTAATATGATTAATTCATACAACAACAGGGAGCATTGAGGCGACCTTAGTATTACTGAATACGTCAACGGGGCATGCAACATTGAACGTATTAATTATTCATCGTTTCGTAATACTGAACAAATTGGTTACAATAGAACAAACAATTATCCACATTTAAATTAATTAATTAAATTCTAACCTCGCTCCACTGAGTCGGTCGAACATTCTGATACTGATTTATACAACAAAAAAAAGGGAAAAAAGTGTTATTTAAATTGAACACAGCGCAGTGTGAAGAAATATATATTGAATTATGAGCTTTCGGATATACACGTACAGAGCGATTACTGCCTCTAAATTAAAGATTATAACTACAAAGTGATTACTCCTTGTGATACATTCATTGAATATCAAAAGTGCAAGTTCGATTACTAAACTTATAATAATATAGTATATGGCTCATTGAAATTGCTCTCTCATTTGAACAAAAAAAAACACAACCTTTATCGTATTATTAGATTGTCTGACACATGATGCAACAGTGGGCATAGAATGAAAAAAAAATTATACATATTTGAGAAGATATAAATACATTTCTGAAAGTCGAAAACGTTAAATAATTTATATTCAGACGCGACGTATTTCTTATCTGTGTGGTTTTCACTATCTGAAAATATACGTTCGATTCTAACGCTGAGCGACGCGCAGCCTTTTCCTTTCTTTTGGATTTCTTATCGTTCACATCAATTAGCTAAAATGTTTTCATGTTGCTGCGTGTGTTCAGGCTGCGTGCAGTTCGCGCATAAATTGCCGTCCATCGTCATCTATACACACACACACATACACACCGACTTTAAACAGAAACACGCAAAATAAAATTGACTGCGTATTGTAATTACAAAGCAAATTGTGGCAGTGTGACTGTGGTGCTAGTGTACATAGCAACGTGGGTCATCACCTGTTCATTGATGTGTCTCATTTCAATCTAAGACAGACAGTATCGTGGAGACTTTATTCTATTAGCGAACTAAGATTTGTGGCTTTCAGAGATTACTGCGCGGCCATACTAGTGGAGCATGTAGCATAAATCAATAACAGTGCGATTAAGCACAGGAAGACGCGTGTTGCACGATTCACGGCATATGCACCCTTAACCTCGGTGCGTGTGTACTCCGAATAGCATCCTAATTATCAGTGTTTCTTTCCCGATTTGAACGCTAATAACGCAGCTCGATCAAAGGATTTAATGTTATTCGAGAGGTGATTTGTCTTTGACTTTGACATTCAATTGAATCGGGCGACTTGTACTAAGGTTAACAAAAGCCGCCCCAGTCACATCGTGTGTATAATCTGAAAACAATGTCAGTGTCGAATCAAAACAGGCAAGCTGTAACTGAATAATATGCGTTAAAACCAACATCAATGCGAAATGTACCAATAACTAATCGGCCGCCCAGTTGCTTTCCACACATGATATGCTGCGGGTATTCGCTCTTCTCTCACAATCATTTAAACATTGTTTATCAATTGATGCATGGGCAGCCGTTACATATACCAGCTAATATCAATAAATATAATAAAGCAATATTGATATTAGTTCGGATCAATGAATCAGCGTAAAAAAACGAAATAATACAATGGAATGTTTAAAATTAAGGTTGATAGGTGCGTGCTATGACCTTGATATGTTTATCATTTTATTCTCGTTTTCTTCTCTTCTTAGGTTCAGCGACCGAAGTCACATGCAACATGTACATAATTAGTCTGGATTCGGTTAAAGAAGCGACAATGGTGAGTAGGAGAGCTACCGGCTCTATTCGAGATATGAAAAAAGGAGAAATCTGAAACAGCTGGTACGTGTGACATGATGTGGCACGCCATCATGTCGCTTGCTGTTAGTGATATGATTGTTCCCTATGTTTAGTTTGTATTTAATATCGCATGAATATGGGATCAAACTAGCGGCAGCTGATTTCTGCTCATGACGCGGAAATCAACGATGCATCCCCATTATAACCGTACCTCACGAAGAAACAAATGCCATGGTTACCGTTAATCACATGAACAAGAACAGACTTCGCGCGCATATTGAAGAGAATCACACACACAAAGCTAACGCATTACTCTAACATGTTAACCCGAATCGTTCTCAGCTATACTAGCTGTGTGGTTTGACGGGGGTGACCAATAACCGTGAACCTTTGATGTAAAAAAGGACTGACACTTTTATATTTAGACAATTTTTCTGGTTTATTCGTATCCATATTTACCAGTGAGCGTATGTTATCGTGTCATTCAGTTGTTTTAGCTGCAACACTGTGTTCGTCCGCAGGTTGATTTAAGTATGGTTGAGTTGCAATTGATTCGGTAAAGCAATACTGCGGAGGCCTGTTACCGTTGCACAGACACGATACTAGCGTACACATTGACGTTACCCAAACATGTGGTGGTCATATCTCCAAAGGATTCATCGGATGTTTTTTCTTTCTTATCCCTGAAATCAGGGATGTAGCAAGTTTGTGTTAATACGATGAGAAAATTGATTAATCCCATTGCATTTACTACCAAATATTCAATATCATTTAATATGTTGCCATGGTATAATTATTATTAGTACATGCCGTGCATTTAGGGAGCAATCAGGCCAACACGTATCTATCACGTGTTGTATTACGTATAATCCTCGCCTCCGGGATTTTCCAAGTCTATCGATTGGATCAAACGGAAGGAAATAATGACCATGACCTTTAATAATAAGAACAATTCAAAGTAATAACAAAAATGTTTTCATTGATTAATGAATTTTTAAAATTACGTGACACTCGCGTTTGAACTAGATTGTCACACCAAATCTGATTATCGGTCAATATGACTTCAGCTGTAGTTTCCTATACTACAGACACAATCGCAAATATTATTCTTAGCAGTCAGTGACAAGAACGATCCGCTAAAATAACTAAACCGTGCTTAATTTGCATAAATATGTGATAAATGTGACAAATTCAAGGTCATAATGCAGATCATCTAGCAACTAGCGATGTGAAATGTACGTTGCCTATCCCTACACATTCATATTATTTACTAGATTGAACAAGCGTAGAATACTGCCTAGGTGCAAAATAGGTGTTTATACGTATTTGCCCTAAAAAAAACAACTCAATGCTTCCTTCACTGTTCGATTATATAACTGACGCATGCAACGCACGCCCCCAATCGTACACGTCCAAATGAGTTTTGCGATCAAATTACCTGATTTGTGAACGCACTTGAAATGTTAATATACAGCTTAGAGTTTATACTTTGCGTGTTTATATGCTTTACTTCATACTACTTACAGTGAAAATATAGGTATATTAAAACAATACACATACACACACGTAGAAACACCGCGTACATGTTTAAAACATTCGAAAAAACGAGATATATTTAATTATTTCCATCAATCGTACCATTCATGGTTACTAGGATTTAACAACATTAGCTTAAAGTTTCTAGTGTGCGATTTAAAACAATGATTTTCCATTTATACTGCGAAATACCAGAGGCCAGGGTACTGGTGTAAACTAAACTGCTATAAACCTACACTAACACTCCACGATAAGTATTCATGGCAGGTTTGACTAGAAATCCTATTTAGACGATCTGTTTAATCGAATCTTTCAATCAGGGAGGAATACATTAAACTGCAAAACAGGGAATGAGTGACACGAGTGAAACTATTGATTACCATGGTAATTGCTCGTAGAACCAATTCCTATAATTTATTTATTTATTTATTTATTTATTTATTTATTTATTTATTTATTTATTTATTTATTTATTTATTTATTTATTTATTTATTTATTATTTTTTTTAATTTTTTTTAATTTATTTATTTTTTTATTTACATTTTCAACGGTGCTCAACACAATCATAAATACAAGAAAACAATAAATTGAGACATATACAAAACACAAAATAAACGTATAAATAAAATAAATAATTTACAAAGGAACATTTTAATTCAATCTAAGACTACATACAATTATTATTCAGTTTATACTTATGAGTTATAGTGTGTCCCGTCCTGTCGCACGCAAGTGCACTGACCGAAAAAATCTCGCTGAGATCTAGAGCGGCCACGAGACTTGTTTTTCCTTAGATATTAATCCATTTTCGTCCGTCATTGCGTCCAATGATTCAAGTATCATAGTTACATATTGCAGAAGAACAGTACACACGATGACGGACAATGGAACACTACTTGAGGGACAAGAACAAGTCTCGCGTAATCCTCGCTCCCAATGAGACCTCGGCGGACATTTGTGTCGTGGGTATATTCACAGTTACGACGCCTAATGTGGGAAATTCTAACATAATATTAAAATTGTGGTTGTTCCTTGACCATCTTTCTCGAGAATAAGGATGTATATTCGCTTAGTAATGAATAAGAACTAATATTACGAACGCATCAGAGTTGACGAAAGAAAGATAATTAACTGCACTTTATTTAAAAGTTATGTATGATAATCCATACACGGGCCAAAATTATGTTATCAAATTAGTATTTAAATTTGTAGACAAATACAAAGTCATTTCGTTTTAAATTTACGAGAATTGCTTGATTTGCTTTTCAATTTTAGCCAATGTAATAGCTTGAATTAATGTCAAGACGCGTGATTTCATTTTCTCATGTTATGAATTCACCCCCATTGTTTGTCTGAAACGACAAGGGTCACCACAATGGTTTAAAACATTGGCGCCTTCATTTGTAGAACAATCTACAGTCTGGGTTTTATTTCATGTATATTTATTGCATATTATGCCTTGATTGAAATTGGCGATAAATTACAATCAAAACCATATAATTATGTCACAAGTATTTGATTGAATGTAAAGTTATGAGTTTTGTGTTTTGTGTGCAATCGAGGGATTACGCGTTTTTAGTCCGCTTTAAGAGGACCATTGCCGATATGTTTAAATATCCTATTCGATACACTTTCAGAAAACATTGAGAATTATATTATTGTTTGTGTACTGGGCGATTAAAATAATTAATCGCATGTTTATATCACGCAGCTAATACATATGCTCAATGAGGGGAAAATGAAGTATGACCCTTTCGAATATAAAAAAAAAACTGAAAAAAAAAAATAAACATTTTTTTTTTCAAATTTCAGGATGAAGAAAGTTTTTTTTTTATTAACGTTTTCTACAAATAAAAAATGGGTGTTTTAATACTTTCGCTTAATCTAGTGCCCGCACAACAGACGCATTCTCGCTCAAAACGTACTCGCGTGAAACGTTCTCGCGTGAAACGTACTTGCGTGAAACGTTCTCGCGTGAAACGTTCTCGCGTGAAAGTAGTCACGTGAAACGTTCTCGCGTCGACTTCAAATAGTCCACGACGGCTATTCTCTTTCCCATTACGCTTTACATAATAGTACCGCTACCACAGGTTGGAACGGATTCGATTTTCCGCGCATAAACGTCATAACACAGAGACCCATAGCCAGTTTGTAATGCCCTGACAAATTTGAGAAGACTGTATTATTCTAGCGAAAATAATCCACATTTTAAACTAATTTACAAAACATTGCATTCAGATTTAGGGCATAGAAACGTGTTATTAATTTTATTAAATAATCAGGTAACTTGAACATAACTGTGTTAACTGACAGTAACACGTAATTTGAATAAATTTGAATATGCAAATGAGTGGAGTTTATTCTCGGGCGACCATTCTGACAGTTTCACCGCACTGCAAACAACTGGTTAAAAAAACAACGGTCGAAAAATTTGCGAAAACTGTACTTTGAGCTAACAATTGGGACTCTCCTGGACAGGTCATCTCTACATGCAACAACGTAGAACGTTTTGTGACGTAGCTTTGCTTCAAGGATACTCAGGCAAGTACAGAAGCGGTGGCATGAAACTTTGCATGGGGGGGGGATCTGCTCAGTATTCCTTGCGCCCCATAGGCGCAATGACTCGCATATTTTTTTTCGCGGTGCCGCCGCCACTGAAGCATATTCGCATTCGTTTCCGTTAAACATATTTTTTTTACATAATTTTGCAAAGAAACTCAAGAAGTTATACGAACTATTCTGGCATACGAAAATAAAATAAATTCACCAACAATTCTGAGATATGAACTGCAATTTCTCCGCAATTGGGACTTTTGCTCCTACTAACCTATATTCGAAGGGACGGGATTGTACAATGACAGCGAGAGATTCGCGAGACTTGTTTTTGCTCATCCACTCGGTGTTCCATTCTCTATCGTCACTCCCTCCACTGATCCCCAGATCTACTTGAACGTAAAATTTGAAAATGTGGACACGAGGACGGAGAGAGAATGAAGCACAATCAGAGGTGAAAACAAAATACTAAAATAACTAAATGACTAAAATAAACGAAAATTTACTCTAGGCTTTGTCTGACGTCAACATCTAACAATTCTGTATTTATTCCACGTCGTAATATTGTCATCATAAAAAAAATCACAGAAAAACAGTAAAACTAATATTCAGCGAATAGTATATCGTCATGACGTCACAGCTTGTGTGGGTTATAGTATTCTGTAATTACATATTACAACGCGCTTACGTGATTTCATTAATGTACCACCTCCTTTGGGTAACAAGTAGAATTAACAATTCTAACTCGCTCTTCAAATAGAAATTCGAGACCTGACTATTCGCTGGTCACTAATAGAAAATCCCTGATCTGTGAATATTGTTAAATTGAATGACATACTTCATATGATTTCAAAGCAAGCTATACCAGCGTAGTCACAAACATCTTAAAC